TTCTTAGCGAAGAAATACAAACATGATATTCGATTGACATGTACACCCTTGTGCAAATTAATTGAAACAACCACTTTAGTTTCCTTTCTTTCACCTACGGTCAGTTTTAGACCCACTGGAGTGACAGAGTGTAAAGGATTTCTATTTTTCCTCAGATTAGCTCAGTAGTGTGCAGTAATATGAATTTATTTTCGGGGTGTGTGATAAAATATGTTTGGCCTTGAAAAATATTGTGACATCCGTGACTGCATCCGATTATTATCTGCCCTGACACTATTGTTTCGACTATCGATTAGTTGTCATATTGTCAGTGTCCGCGATGGACATTACTCCAAGTAAGCGTACGGAAATTGTAATACTGCACGAACACATTGGCATGCCTTACCAGTGAGCAAATCAATGTGTTATAGACTGTTCCGGAAACTCTCCTGATTTAAATCTAATCGAGAATCTGTGGTCAATCTGCAAGGAACGAGTTCGTGGAATGGACATACGGAAAACTAACATGTGCACTGTGTCAGGTTTCATTGGAAAAATACGAAAAAAGTAAAAAAATATCGGAATTATTCGTTCTATGTTAATTAATTTGCACAAGGGTTCATATAGTTCGAATACGATTAATATAATTCAATATAAATGTTTTTAATAGATTTAAAAAGTACATGAATTTATAACGGTCAGATATTTTTATTTAGGTCTTCTTCTTCTTCTTCTTCTTCTTCTTCTTCTAACCCTAACCCTAACCCTTCTTCTTCTTCTTGTGATTTCGATTTCAAGGTCCTTGTATTTTGATAGTTTTTTTTTTAAAGATCTTCAGATATGCATTACAATCTACAGGGACCGACATATCGTTAAGAAGGACTTTTTTTGTTTGTTTGTTTGTTTGTTTACGGTCTCTAATATCGATTTCAAGGCGATTAGCTTTGATTTTTCTGTCTGTTAATATTGTGTAATCTCATAAATTTTTTTTGTATTTTGTAGTCCCATATTATTGTTTGTATTGTGCAGTCCCATATTATTATTATTATATAAATCTTTATTATTATTATTATTATTATTATTATTATCTTTGATTTCTGGCGTTTACACATTTCTTCCCTGGTCCCGCCCAGGGACATAAGGTTAGAAATGGCGTCATGACACTTTCCACTGACAAAAAAAAAAAAAATTAAATTACATAGATAAAGCCCTTCGTAAGGTGTGGGCTGTACTTGTCAGAACAATTTTTTGTATCTCCTTGATGCATGGACTTCCAGGAACCCCTTCAATTAGTCTACTGCAGTCTTTTCCAACCAGTCCCAGGGCTCCAACTACAACAGGGATTGTTGATGTTCCCATATGCCACATTTTCGAGTTTGCTATTTCAATGTCCTTGTACTTTGACAACTTTTTGAATATCTTCAAAGATACATTGCAGTCAGCAGGGACTGCCATATCAATAAGGAGGCACCATTTTTGTTTGTGGTCTTTAATAACAATATCTGGGCGGTTGGCCTTGATTGTTCTGTCAGTGTGTATTGTGTAATCCCATAGAATTGTAACAGGTCCTATCTCCGTATTATTATTATTATTATTATTATTATTATTATTATCTTATTTTGCTGTCTGATGTTTAATGTTATCCCATACCCGGATCTAATAAAGAGTTCGGCAGAAATACCCCCGGCATATAACTCCTAGAAATACCTTCTACATAATCGTAAGACATAAGCTTCCGGCTAATGCTTTCTCGTCATCTGTGTACTTCAAATATGTAATGAAATTTCAAACTTTATCTTATTTCTTCTTAATTCTTATTTATTCATAGATCTATCTCCTTAATAATGTTTTCTTTTTCTCATCCTCTTTCACGCTCAGTAACCCCCTTGCATCTTAGTGGTTTTATTGCTTTGCTTGGGGTGAAATGATTCAAAAGAGTTAGATTGTCATTCTATGCATTCAGTTTACACAAATCGTGATATTAAGTGATAGTTAATATGTACAGTGTTTATATTTTCACATAGTTACGATTCTTCTGAATAGATAAAAGGTTCCAAAGAGCGAAGGTTATTTGAACCTTCCTAAGAAGGGATTACCAGAGATAATTTTAATCTTTTAACCTGTAACACATTAGATCGTATGCAAGCATCTACTTATAATTAGAGATTCTTGATAAAATCCAAAAAGAATTTGCACTTTTTTTCGTCTTGATCTGGCATCTCGGCTTAAGTCACTTTGCCACTCTTGTAAAGTAAATTCTCTGTGCCTTTTCTATAAATGCATTTATTGTAATTATTCTGGTGAACTTAACTTTTGTAAATATTCATTGGTGTTTCATTTTTAAAAGCTATTATATTTATTTTCCGCCCACCACAGACAAATTGTCCATAAGTGGTGCAGTTAGGACTTTATATAGACTATGAAGTATTGTGGTGACTGTAGTAAGGACGGTAAGTCACTATGTATTCTTTTGGTACAAGGAATATTGTAGGTTGTTCGGGTCAGTGTTTGTGGATAGATAATTTTAAGATATGACAAATTAAGTATCAGACTTTATCCATCTTCCCTTTTGACCTTATGCCACATTGTTATATTTTTCATCATAAATCTCTAATATTTCCTCTATTAAATCTAGATTCTATGAATTTAAGCGCAGTACTATACTGGCGGTAAGGTCTCATCATTTTACATTTGGAATAGATAATGTAAAACTAGGGAGACTAGGCTGACTGCTGGAGGCACAGCAATACCAGGCCAACCAGTGGCAAAGGCGGAGCAAGCCCCTAACTCTTCGTGAATGTAATAGATTCGACTGGAAGAGCCGAGTTCGAATTCAAGTTGAATCCATTAAATTCATTTACGTGCTATACCCTAGGGAAAGATATGAATCTTCTCTTTCTCTTCCCAGTTATGGGTAAATGGCAGCAGAGATCGGGTTCTATAGACTTGGATGGCAACTGGTCACTCGCAGAAAGAAATGGCTACCTAATGGGGGAAAAATATGCGTCGTCAGTCACGTATCGAAAGATACATATCGCCTATGCGTGTATCACGCATGGCACATAGCTGACTGACTGACCCTTGGGAAAGGTATGAATCCTAATCTTTCTCCCCCCTCCCAGCTATGGGTAAATAGCAAGACAGACCGTGTTCTATAGCCTTGGATGTCAACTGGTCCCTCTTAGAAAGAAATGGCAACCTAATGCGGGAAAAATCTGCCTCGGCCGTCATGTATCGAAAGATAAATGATCGCCAAGGCGTGTATCACGTATGGCACATAACTGACTGACTGATCCTTGGGAAAGGAATGTCCTCTTCTCCTCCTCCCAGCTATGGGTAAATAGCAGCATAGGCCGTGTTCTATAGCCTTGGATGGCAATCGGTCGACCGCAGAAAGAAATTACAAACTAAGTCGAGAAAAAATCTGCCTTGTCCGTCATGTGTCGAAAGATACATGATCTCTTAAGCGTGTATCACGTATGGCACATAACTGACTGACTGACACTTGGGAAAGGAATTAGTCCGCCTCTTCTCCTCCCAGCTACGGGTAAATAGCAAGACATACCCGGTTCTCTAGCCTTGGATGGTAATTCGACTAACGCAGAAAGAAATGGCAACCTAATACGGGAAAAATCTACCTCGTCAGTCATGTGTCGAAAACTGACTGAATGTAACTGTATGCTAAGTGTTTCTTTTCTTTCAATCCCGTCTTGTTGCTTCCCAGTCAAGATTGACCTCCAAAAATTTTAATTCAATGTCAATTTTTATTTTCAGCCTTCTCAATTCTTGTTCTTTTATTGTTCTCATTTATCTTTATTTTTTTAATATTTCCAAAACCCAATAACCATCTCCCCTGCGACTTTCTTTCCTTGCTTGGACTGAAATTAAACAATATACATGATTAGTTTTAAGATGCCGGCTTTTTTATTCAGTTCAACTTCAAGATCCTTAGATTTATTTATTTTGTCATATTCTTTAACACATATATTTCTATCAGATGCCAATACCATAGAAATAAGAAGTCAATGGTTTTGTTTGTAACCTTTAGTCACTTTGTTTTGTCTCATACTTCTGAATACGTTAGAGAGTATTAATTGTTAAGTTCCAATGAATATTGATCGACGCCTGTCAATGGTTCATAGACGCTCATACTCTTGGTCAACATACGTTCCATTATACTATTGATATTAGTTAAAGCACTGTCTAAACTTTCCATGACTATCACTGTATTTGCTCAGTGTCAGGATTCTTCAAGTAGACATTAATTGGTTAATAGTCCCAAAATATTCTTCATATCAACTACAGATATGATCTACGCCATTTTGTTATTTTTACATAATCTCCGACTAGTATAATGTGGAGCTATTCAGAAATTATAAATGCTTTTCTCTCTGCCATTAATCCTGCGATTTTCAACCACTTATAAGTTTTGCGTTTATCTACGTCGACATTGTTGATTTTTAGTAGATACTGGTCATGTTGCTTTTTTTTTCTGTTCCCAGGTATTTTCATCTTCATAAAAGTTGTTTTTCTTTTACATTCTTTTATGATTTTAGACGCATTAGTTGGTCTTTCTACGTTTTTTTTTTCTCCCGGTTGACAATTTCTAGGGAAGACCACATCTCGTTAGCAGCTTAAATTACCAAACAACATCTTTCTTTTCCTGATGATGGTTTTTTAAGGACTAGATGTTTTCAACACTACTCCATTATGAACTTAAATTTTTAGAATGATTGAACGTTTTATTGTAATACTATTCCAAAGTAAATTCGGTGAATTGGAAATGGAAAGCTCGTTGTAAGCATTCAGATATGACATGATGTTTCTGATAATACTGCAAATGTAATCTGAAGAATAATGATTGGTTAAAACGTTAAGTATGGGTTTCAAATATAAATATCGATATAGTTTCGTGCTCCAACCGGAATGTATGGCTAAAATTTAATATAATGTATTCAGAGGTCTATACCCACTCTCAATACATCTGCCTCGTGACGGATTTAGTCATTACCTAGGGGCTG